AGCAAGAAGCTTCTGGAAAGCCAAAACATGGGGAACCAGTCTTGTCTAAAATAGAGTAGGAAGTAAAAATAATCACCGAGTTCTAAATTCACTTAAACTTCTCTCTCTTCAACCTGGAGTGGTGGGTAGCAGAGAAGGTAACAAAAGACTGAGCCACACAGGAGGACTAAAGTCACCTTTCCCCAAGGCCCTGTGCTATGCATGCATAGTATACTGTTTCCAGCCCTTCCCAAGTGAAGGCTTCCTGAAACTTCCTAGAAACAGACTACACAGGATTATCTCAGAATTAATGAATGATGATGAATCTAAAGTGTTTCTCCTACATTTTAAATGTATGGTCCATTTTATTAATATATTGCATTAACATTAATAAAATGCTTATGTATAATATCATACAATTCCATTTATGCTCATAAAAGTTTCTACAAGTAAAAAAGATATCTTCATACAAAGTAAGAAATATAAGAAAAAAGCAGCAGTTTTTTCCCCTCTCTCTTCTCACACAATACTCCTGACACCAGGAATATGGGGGGTTTCCCCTCCCCACATCAAGCAATTCTGCAGATTCTCCACTGGATACCACCTGGGTGTCCACTAATTCAATTCAATTCTGACAGTATCAATCTGGAGATACTGTCAGATCCCACAAGTTAAAGGCTCAGTCCCACAAGCCTTCAGATGCCCAACTTCAGATGCTAGTCCCACAAGCCTTCAGATGCCCAACTTCAGATGCTAATCACAAGCCCTAGGTGTGGCCTGACCTTCTGACAGACTGGCCATAAATCCCACAACCCTCTCCAATTAATTTGCTAGAGAAGTTCACAGAACTCAAAGAAACACTTTACTTACGCTTACCCATTTATTATATGGATGTTACAGAGAATACAGATGAAGAGCCAGATGGAAGAGACGCATAAGGCAAGGTATGGAGGAATGGACTCAGATTTTCCACACCCTCTCCAGGCTCCCCATCTTCTAGGAACTTCCACATATGCTGCTATCCAAAAGCTTCCAGAATTTAGTCCCTTTGGGTTTTCATGGAAGCTTCATTATGTAGGCATGACTGATTAAACTACTGGCTATCGGTGATCAACTCAACCTTCAGCCCCTCTCCTTGGGGGTGGGGCTGAAAGTCCCAGCCCTCTAATCACGCTTTGGCCTTTCTGGTGACCAGCCCCTCTCCTGAAGCTATCTAGAGACCCCTGTCACCAGTCATCTCATTAGCATCTGAGATTCCTAAGGTTTTAGAAGCTGTGTACCAGGAAACAGGATGAAGACCAAATATATATTTCAAAGTATCACACAAAGCAATACTAAATTTTTTCATTTCAGATCATAATATTGCTACATGATGGTAAAATGACTTCCTAGCTAGTAAGAAAGAATATCTAATACATCATCAGAAAATAAAACTGTCTATGAAGAAACCTGAATTTGGGTAAGCACCAAAAATCAGGTAACGTAACATTTAGATGCGAAATGTCAGAACTCTCAGTTTGCCCTGGGCTATCTTGGTTTATGCCTATGATCATGACATAATTCTTAGGTGTAGACACTTCTCTCAAAAATGGCACAGTTTGGACGACTGGTTCTATAGCACTCTTTTGGGAGATAAAAAGATTCCTAAACATTCTTTGACAAAGAAACATTACGGTTTTCAGAAACATTAGCATGTACAAAGGTGCTTTACACAATCTGCTTTTAAACTGACCAATTTTGAAAGAGTTAATAAACATTTTAACTTTCACAGGTGTAAAGTAATAAGGATTGATCAATACTGAATGTTTATGAAATTTCTTCAGACATAAATGTGGAGCTTGGCCTTGCAACCTATATTTGGGAAGTCCCCACCCCCCAACCTCTATACCCAATCTAGGGATCCATGAGAATGGTACAGTGATTCAGCATTTCTAAGGCATTCATTAAAATATGCTCCAGTGCAATGAAACCAGGAGAGGAAAAAAGGCACATAAGACACAGATACTAAACTCAAAACTTCTTTTTATAAAAGCAACAATGATGAAATTCTATACTTTCATACTGAAACATTTGTAAAGCAGCAGAAATGACAAGTGTGTCTCTCATCACTGTTATTAGGCAAGTCATCCTAAGACACAGCAGAAAGCATATGGAACACTTTTTGTCAACTAGTTCAAGAGTTGCTTAAAAATAGAAGTAAAAGCGAAATCGCAAAACACAAAGGGAAACCGTGTTCGACAAACAAGAACAACACAGTTTATACCTGGACAGGAGTACCTTTTAGAATCTTGCTTATCTCATATTTGTGTCTCCTGGAGGAGAGACCATGCCTTTTTCACTCCTGTAACCCTTACCTTTTATCTTTGAATCCTTAGTATACTGCTTTGCACATGAAAAAGGTGCAAAAAATTGTTCATTTAATTAAACTAATAAGAACAGAAGAAAAATGCTTTCAAATATAATTTCCACATAAACATTCCTTTCAAAGTACAGTATTAAAAAAACCCAACCTCCATGAGGGGGTGGCAGTGGCAAAGTAGAATCATTCCAAGAGCAAGTAGGTGTCTTACAGTGAGAAATTTATTCCTCTAGGTAGTGCTGGGTAAAAGTTTAACAAACCTTATTAGCACAGAAAGTCAAATACATTGTCGTCAAACCATTTCCCACCAAACAAAACAGTCACATAAAGTTAGCCTATAAGGCGAGCATTAGTTATAGCCTTCAATACCTGAGTTATAAAAAAGTTCCACTGAAATTTCTTTCAAGTCTCAGCTGTGGAGGGTTCGACCATTCTTTAAAACAGGCTTTGAGGCAGTTGTTTTTCCTCCTTCAGCACCCTACGCAAAGGCACTCGAGTTTGAAAACTAGTCATTTAAACCACAGAAGGTCTCATTCAAGAACAAAGCTATAGGCCAGGCGGGTGGCTCATGCCAGTAATCCTAGCACTCTGGGAGGCTAAGGTGGGTGGATCGCTCAAGGTCAGGAGTTCGAAACCAGCCTGAGCAAGAGTGAAACCCCATCTCTACTAAAAATACAAAGAAATTAATTGGCCAACTAAAAATATATAGCAAAAATTAGCCGGGCACGGTGGCGCATGCCTATAGTCCCAGCTATTCAGGAAGCTGAGGCAGTAGGATTGCTTGAGCCCAGAAGTTTGAGGTTGCTGTGAGCTAGGCTGACACCACAGCACTCACTCTAGCCTGGGCAACAAAGTGAGACTCTGTCTCAAAAAAAAAAGAAGAAGAAGAAGAAAGCTATAAAATGGGCCTCAATGCATTTTATCAAAAGTGACTTGGATTTCTCTTCCTTAAAGACAACATCCACTCCTCCTATCAATAAGACACACAGGTAGACATGATCTAGTACTGCAGTACGGGACCATGTTCTGTTAGGGACCAGGCCACAGAGCTCCGCCTGCCACCCCACCCCATCCCATCCACGAAACTTAGGAAGGTGAGGGTGAGTGGCAGGTGAGAGTGAGTGGCAGGTGAGGGTGAGTGGCGGAGAGCAAGAGAAGCTACATCTCTACAGCCTCACATCGCTCACATCACATCACCATCACCACCTGAGCCCCCCTCCCTCCCCCCACCCATATCCCATTCCCATAACCCCTGCCCTGACCATGGAAAAATTGTCTTCTATGAAACTGTGCCAAAAAGGTTGGGGACCGCTGATCCAGTAGTCTGCTCATTAAGTTACACAGGAGCTTATGGGGGCAAAGGCTAGCAGAGAACAGAGAGCCATATAACTCAGCCAAGGTGGGTAGCAGCCAGGACACAGTAACGTGAAACAAAGTTAACTTCTCCAACAATATCCAATATGAAGGAAGAATTTTCTCAGAAATCTAACTGTAAAAAATAGTAAAAATTAAATATTCAGGCCTCCTGAATTTTATATTAGCAGCTTTACAACTTTAGGAAAGTGATCTAAAAGCCTTAAATTTCTAGTTCATTTTGCAACTGGGGATAAATACTGTTAGCACTTACCTATATTTCAGAAAACTAATAAAAGCAATGATGTAAACCACAGATACTTTCTTAAATTCTAGATGTTTAGATAGTTAATGCTCTTCCCAACCAAACATAAAGTTCAAAATGAAATATTTAACATACAGATCTATAATATGCTGCCGATAAAGAACAGAGGTACTGATAAGCCATTGTGTAATGTGCTTGGATCCAAAATAGTAACATTATTAATTCAAATATGGAATAGTAAGCAAGAAAAAATATTCCTTAATCTTTGGATATTAAACACATTTGTCTTCTACTAAATACCTTTTTAAAAACCAGTGCCACTTTCTGAACTAACCTAAAAGTAAAGCAGTTTGCTCACAATCAATTAAGTCTTGAAGGACTTAAAGACAACCAACTTGCTCACAGTTAAGTCTTGAAGGATTATGTCAACCAAAACTGGTCTTCACATGATGCAAATAATTTGTTTCTATTCACCATACTCTTAAAATGTCAAATTGTCTACTTACTGAAAATACAATGGACAAAAAGTATTTTTTTCCTACTCACCAATTAAAAAAAGAAAAAGGTTTAAATTTAAACACTCAATTTCTAAGTGGGAAGACTGACAAGGACCCTGCAGCCAAATAGCTTCTTACAGCAATCTTCTGTGTGCAGATTTAAAGTAGTTTTTTATAGCACAGAAGGTACAATACTGCACCCTTACATAAAGCTTCGCAGAAACAAGTCAGGCCCATGAACACATTCACTTAACTAGTGTACAGTGCCCAATGCTCCTGAAAGGTACATGGACCCAGTTTCAGTTGCTAAACTTATAAGGACATCAGAAAACTCCAGTCCCCGTTTAGTCAGAGAAAAGAAACAAACAGTAATCCTATCCCAGTAGATCCCAAGTTAATTCCCTCCAGTTTCTCCCCTATCATGATATTAAGTGATTTCTTAATAAAATGCTGCAGTAAAACTTGTGAAATCAGATTCTGGCAGAAAATCAAATCAAAGGAAAACTCTTCATGGCAGCTACTTTCACAAAGCCAGCCTCCTGCCTACCTTATTATGTTTTTGTTGGTGTCTTGCCTTTGTGTCAAGAACATGATAAGGGCTTTCCGAGTCTTGGTTGATGTAATAAACAAGTCTTGAAGGCAGTGTGATTTCTTTCTGCATTGCATTGCTGTAACTGATATTACTGCTGCTATTCTGTTGCACTGGATTGTCTTCAACTGCCAGGACTCCCAAATTTTTTTCTGCAGTTTCATTCCAATGCGGAGCTGGGGGGGCAGGAAGCACAAACACACACACACACATATATATATATACCCCATCAATACATAAGCACTAAAACTAATTTTTCCATTACACAAAGTTTTCTCTTTATAAGCAGGTAAGAAGTGGAGAAACAGTAAAGCAAGTTATTTCAACAATGAAATGGCCTGGATCGATTCATAGCCAATAAGGCTTATACAATCATGTACTGTTCATTTTGATTTATGTTTTATATGTGCATTTTCTAACCAGTCTCAAATCTATACTTCTAAGTATCAGGGAGGGGCAGGATGAACTTGAGGGACAAGTCATTAAATCAACATGCTCAGGGGTCCTGACCCTCATCTCCATCCCTTCTCTGAGTCTACAGAAGCTCAACTCTACTCTGCCTAGTGGTATCCCATCTGAGAGCTAAGAACACTCCTAAGATAACTTTTGAGTGCTGTATTCATGGGCACAGAATGTTAATTGATTTCTTTTAACAAAATGGACAGTTCCTTTCTCTTTTAACTTTGAGATGAGCAAAAAATTCCTTTGCCATACAGGAATGCAGATGCTGGCAGCTTTCCAACTTCTTTTTCTTTTCCTACCAAGGCCAGCTTTCTGCTTTCAGTGATTTCCAATCATCAGTGTATTGAACGTTACATTAATTGTTCATACTATAATAACAAGCACTTTTGAGAAATCACAACCAAAGGTTGTGCACGAAGTAAGTCTTCCACACCTTAATTCTTTGGTCCCCAAAGTATGCCTCCCCCACCTTAACCCCAACAGCAGTGAACATACCCTGTAGGAAATTTGAGGAAACAACCCATTGCCACTATTATTACAGTCTCCCTGCATTCACATTAAGGCTCCCCCTCGCAAGAAGCAACTTGCTCCCTCGCTGCATTTCCCCTCCACTGGTTTCCCCTCCGCAAGTTGCATAAAGATCGTTGAGGGACCCAGGAGCCACTAAATACTTCCCAGTGGAACCAACAGTAATTGGAATGGGTTTTTAGCTAATGCAAAGCAGAAATGGACTTCCAAAAGTGAACTGGAATCAATGGGGGTTTGGGAATGAGAAGGGTGGAGAGGCAGGCAGGCAGGCACGGAAAGGCCGAGCCGGGGACACGTCCGGAGCGCACGGACCCGCTTGCCCTTCGCTTTCCTCCGCAGGGCCCAGCGGGGTAGGCAAGGCGAAGGGCACGGGGCCATACCCACCGCTAGGTGCAGCAGCCCCCCAGGCGCGGGGCCGGGACGAGGAGCTGAGCGGAGGCAGCAGGAGAAGGACGAGGAGCAGGCGGCAGGGCGGCGCGCGGGCCGGCACCGGGGTGGCGGGGCCGCGGCGGGGGCCGCGGGAGGCGCCGGCAAGGCTGCAGCCGGCCAGGGGCGGCCGCTGGGAGTTGCTGCCCGGCGGCTTCATGGCTCATAGCTCCCGGGCGCCGCTCGAAGTGGCCGGCGAGAGCGCCGCGCTAGGCTGCGGGGCTGCTGCGGGCGGAGCCGGTCACGCCGGCTCGGCGCGCATGGTGCCGCGGCGGGCAGGGGGCAGGGGGCTCCGGGGTCGGGGCTCGGGGCTCGGGGCCCGGGGCTGGGCGGCGCCCCCTCCCCGGCTCGCCTCTCAGCCCCTCCCGGGGCGGGCCGCAGAGGAGTCTGGGGGTCCTCTCCAACTTGGAGCCTCCCCAGGGGCTGCTCCCTCCCCGCGGCGGGCGCGGCCACTTCAGCGACTGCGGGGGCTGCCGGGCCCGAGGATGCTGAGGCGGCGCGCGGGAGCGAGCGGCGCGGGCACGCGCGGCGCGGGTGTGCGCCCCGCCCCCCGAGAGCGCGCCTGAGCCGGGCTCGGGCGCCGGTGCTGAGGCTGGGTGCTGATGCTGGTGCTGATGCTGCTGCACCCTGGCACAGGACGCACTGCGCATGCCCTGCTGGGGGTGTGGGGGAGCAGCCGTGATGCAGCATCGCAGGCAGCAGCAGAGGTGATGGTGGCACCTCCAAGGATGGGGGCGGGGGAGGAGGGAGCTGGCAGTCAGGGATGAGCCGGAGGGGAAGGAAGAGGAGTGCGGGGGCTTCCAGTCCAGAGACGGAGGTGATTTGTAGAAAAAACGACCAGCCAAGGAAATCGACCTGCCTTTTCCACCACCCCAGACCTCACGTACCCCGTCCTACTCCAACCCCTTCCTGCTAGGGATAAACTAAGGTCAAGAATGTCCTTCTTAACCCTTTGTTTATTTCCTTCCTGCAAGTAAATATAAAGGATTGCAGCTGGGGAGGTAAAAATAGCGCTGCTCCTCATTCAGCCGGCCTGCAGCGGGTGGCACGACGGCTGGGAAGCACGTTTGCGCGTGGCGGGCGCGCTGGCGCGAGGCGGGAATCCCCGGTGCAGGGGCTCTCGGCCTGGCCCGGCGCTCCCCGCCTGTGCCTGGGGGCTTTGAGGAAAGCAGAAGAAGCAGATGAGGGTGTTTCCTCAAAAGTTCAGAAAGTATGTCTAGGCGTACTGGGGAATAACTTAAAAATTCTGGCGGGGAACAAATGCGGAAATTAGAAACCGAGCGTGTTTTAGCTATCTTGGGAAATCCGTTGTTTGTCAACCATGGGGGTGGGCATGCATTTAGGAGGACACATTTCTATTTTTGAGATCCAGTCCTGACTTCTGCAGAGAAAGGGGAAGATTTTTCCCTCGCTGCTGTAAAAAATGTAAATCCAGGATTCCTGTCTTAGGTGGGTTATTCAGCCACTAAATCTAATGGTTTCAAATTAGAGCCTGTGGCCTATTTCTGCCTCCAAACTCCCATAATGCAAGCATTCACTTATTCACCCTCCCAAAGACAGTCTGAATAATAACAATGTTGTTTTACTCTGTTATTTGTATTTAAAATGATGATAATAGCATCTATTGGGGGGGGGGTCATCAAGACTTTTATGATTAAAAAGAAGAGTGTGAGTATAAAACACCCCAGCCAGGACAGAACTCAGTGTTAACCACCTCCTCCACTCCCACTTAATAAAGAGGAGCAGAGACAAAGACAGACAGACACACATACACAGAAACCCCTAAGATTACATGGCTGTTAGAGAATTAAATACTGATTTTAGTTCTTTCTTTCTATGTCAGAGCGAGGATATTATTATAACATTTATTCATGTAAACTTGTAATTGACGATACTTCCCACATATAAGGGCAACAACAGTTTTCCTTTTTTGTTCACCATTGTGTCCCCAGAACCTTATACAGTGTTTAAGGCACACAAAAATCTCTTGGAAAATATGTAATGAGTAAATAAATAAATGGACAATACACATAAGCAGGAGTCACAGTTGAGGCAAGCTAGTGAACACTCCAACCTCCCTGGAGTTCCTACTTGCAGGTCGATGTTCTTGGGGGTGTCTCCCTCAAGACAAGCATGCCCTGGCTAGGTTTTCCCAGTTTGTATTTGATATAATGTAGATCCTGAAAAAGGGTCTGGCAGAAAGGAAGCCAGAACAGAGTTATACAAGGAATGAGAAGGGAGAAGGAAATGAAAGGTGAAAAGTGCTCAGATACGAGTTACTTGAAAGACATCTTTTGCAATTGAGTGACAACCTCTCAAAGTCTGTTCCAATAAATAAACCAACCAGCCAAACAGTAATGCCTGAACACCTACCAGTTATAACCCACCATTTCATGCATTTGAGGGTACAGAATGAGGATTCAATTTAATTTCTAATAAGAAGTATGTTTACAAAGAGGGATGTTGTCTTACGTACTACAATCAAAAGACTGCATTGATTTACAGAACTTTAATGTTTACAGACATTGCTAGAGTCAAGATAATTTATCAGAAATGAGACAGTGAGTCAGAGAAAATCACTTAGAAAAAAATTATTGGAAGTTTCCTTGAACAATATATGTAAGAGAAGGTTAAAAACAGAATTAAATATTATTTAACTGGTCAATTTGACTAATATACTAATAACTAATATAATGATTAATATAATGACTAATAACTAATATAATTTAGTTATATTTAGTAATAGTCTTATTAGGTAGTTTGTAATTTTTATTGTTACCGAGTTTACTGCTAAATACTACCCTCTGTGCTTTCACAATATTTAGTGACTTTTTTTTTTTTGAGACAGAGTCTCTGTCACCCTAGGTAGAGTGCAGTGGTGTCATCATAGCTCACAGCAACCTCAAACTCCAAGGCTCAAGCGATCCTCCTGCCTCAGCCGCCCAAGTAACTGGGACTACAGGCACATGACACCACACCCGGCTAAATTTTCTATTTTTAGTAGAGATGGAGCCTCACTCTTGCTCAGACTGGTCTCAAACTCCTGAGCTCAAGCGATCCTCCCACCTTGGCCTCCCAGAGCTCTAGGATTATAGGCGTGAGCCACCGCACCCAGCTTCTACCAACTTTATTAATCATTTAACCACCTACTGCTGTGCTCTGTATTCATATATGTGCATATCATCTTTCCCTTATCAAAAAATACCAAGAGCAAGGCTGCATCTTGGTCATCTCTGACCCTAGAGCCGAGTATAGTACCTGGAATATAGTCAACATTGGATAAATGTGCATTGAGTAGAGGGTCACTGCCGGGTAGGAAAGGGAGGGATTCAGCAAGCTGGACGAGAATGAAGGAAGAAATGCACCAGAGGCTTGAGTGCTGTCCTGGCTCTGGTTACAAATGTGTTGCATCCAAGGCCATCAGAGGACGATGGGAGTGATCTGGTTAAAGTGGTAGACGTGGAAAACTGCTGCAGTCGTAGGTGAAGGCAGGTGGCCAGAAGGTCCGTGGGAGGCGACATGGACACCAGGGGAACACAATGAAGGGTGCAGGCAAGCCATGTACAGAAAGGGTGATTGTACTGGTCACAAAAATGGAACCATTGGCCGTGTGAGGGAGACACCAGGAGGCCTCTCCCTGCCATAGTCTGTTTCAGATGGCAGTACCGGACCCACTTTGAAACCAGCGAGAAAACTGGGCCTGGGCGGGAGCAAGCACTGGGAGGAGTAGGAATATTAGACGTGGAAGGCATCTGCCTCAGTAGGGCTGAGACTCTGGGGGAGAAGGCAAAAGGCGGGGTCACAGAAGAGGGACCTTGAGAGGGCCAGGCAGCTAAGCAGACTCATAAGAACAATTAGAATGGAATCATCATTTGGCCAAAAAGCCAAGGTCGAAGAATTACAATTTGTTGTGCAGCAAATCAGTGCAGGTGCTGAGAGGAGGAGAGGTCTGGAGGAGTGAGAGTGGGAGCACGGACAGGGCGGGGACAACAGCAGCTCTGGCTCAAGACAGCTCCCGTCGGAGAGCTCGAGAGCTCGCTGGGCGGCTTGTGTCTCAGCAGCGTCTGCTGTAGGTAGGAGGTTCTCAGCCTCGTTTTAGAACAGCTGTGAAGACTGACTCTACAAGTGGAAAGTGATACTTCGAAGGAGAGAAGACAATGCCTTTCTTGGTGAAAGCGAAAAATGAGTGAGCTTCGTTATTGATACTTTCCATGTGGTTCAGGGATCAGCAAACATTTTCTGTGAAGGGCCAGATAATAAATATTTTTGTCTTTGGGCCATATGGTCTCTGCTACATATTCCTTTTTTTTCTTTGCAACCCTTTAAAAATGTAAAAACCATGCAGCCTGCAAGCCCTGGTTTGTCAGCCTACCATGTTTATATATGTGTTACACACACACACACACACACACACACACACACACAATGGTTAAAATGCTTTCCTCAACTGTATTACATCCTATGCTTGTGAGCGGGAAGAAATGAAGAAAGTCTGTACAACAATATACATGGCTCTAATTCCAGAAGAGATTGCTCTTCATTGCAATTTAGCTATTTGTTTAATCAATAAGTAGTCTCTAAATTCTTAAAAGATGTTCATCCCATGAAGAGATTCCTAAGAAAAGAAGCATTCCTCCCTAGAGCTAATTCCCAGATCAGATATTCAGGGACATGTCAGAAATCTTTGCCAAAAAAAAAAAAAAAAAAAAATACAGTTGTTGAAAAGATTCTAGACGTTTCTTTTGTTTTGCCAACCTATATTTTCTGGTGAGCGGAGAGATGTTGAATGGATGCTACAGCCATGACAGGTCAAATAATGGAGTAACACGTGCACTGACAACCCTTCCTGAAGCCTGTCACCCGCTGTGATCTGCCCGTGTGCCTCAAACTCAACACTGAAGAGTGCTGCAGGACAGGGGGCACACGCTCCAGACACAGCGCTGCACCCAATGTCACAAGCGACATTCAAGTTCATGAAAAACGAGTCTGCAAGTCTGTGTTAATTATACCACACCGCTCGTTGGGGAGGATAGACCACGGTGGGATGGTGTGACTGATTCTAACACTACTGGGGAAAGAAAAAGTGTTCATTACTAAAAGTTCAATAGTCACAGACATTTATAGGGAGCAGTTGAACAGTCGAAAATGTATCAAAGTGTCAAGCATGAAAAAAATCCAAAAAAAAGGTGTCCACTGAAGAAACCTAAAATTAAGTTATTTGAAGACATTATGGTAGATGGAAGTTAATTAGGAATTCCTGACAAAGTAAGATAAATTTGAAAAACAGTTCATTCCCCCCCCCCACAAACATTAGGCTTGTTTATCCCACGGTTCGGTGTGTTTACAAGCTGCGGCACAAAGGGATAAACAAGCATGTCATGGTGATTTGTGGTGATAAGATGTGCTTGTAAAACTTGGAAGAATTGTGTTTATTAGGAATAATCACTGAGTCAACATGTAATTATTAAGTCCTCGCTGGGT